ACTCAAGAACAATACGCCCAAACCCTAGGCATCCATAGCACTTGACTCCCTATCCTCTCATAGTATTCTTTTCAGTTTTTGGAGCAACTTTGGGTTTATCATTACCTTTTTCTTTAGAACTATAGTGTCCTTGAAATTAGACTTCTTTTTCTTTAGAATTTTTTTGAATTGTTTAGTAAACATAGCCGTCATTCCGAACTCTAGATTAATTTCTACCTCAGGGTTCTTAATAGTCTCATGAGCACTAAAAAATGCCACACTTTCTTTATGCTTTTCCTTTGAAATTAGATGAGCCTCATAAGTTTGGAAGTTTCCAACCAACTGATCAAGCTTGAGGTTCTCAACATTCTGAGCCTCCTCTATAGCTATCACTTTTTATTAGAACCTATTGGGTAAAAACCTCAAAATTTTTCAACAACTCTAGACTCAAGAATTTTTTCACTGAATGTGAAACAAGAATTCACGATGTCACTGAGTTTAGTATAAAAATCATCAAACGTCTCATCCTCACTCATAAAAAGAGTTTTAAAAATGGAGGTGAGACGTTGAAGTTTTGACCTTTTGACAAGAGTAGTACCCTTCTAAATTGTTTTCAAGAATGTCCCAAGCCTCTTTTACTACCTCACACGTATAAATACGTCGAAACTCTTCCAATGTGATGGAGCTAGAAAAGGGCATTAAACACTTTACTATTCCAACTCGAATTTTGATAATTAATTGTATCTCATTTATCAATTGGCTTGGGAATATGAACACCATCAATGGTAAATATAGGTTCACTCCATCCATAGATAATGAAATGCCAAACTTTCTCATCAATAGATTTTAAAAACGCCCTCATACGAGCTTTCCAATATGAATAGTTTGTTCCTTCAAGTAAAGGAGGTCTATGGGTTGAGTTACCTTCGCAAATCGAATCCATTAACACAAATCACACAAAATCACACTCCTATAGTTTTTATAAAAAAAAAGAACGAGTGACTCGCTTTGATACCGATTGAAAAACTTAAGTGATTCGTGAACAATTCCCAAACAAACAAAGCTAACACTTTAAACCATCTAGCACGTACGAAAGTGATTTAGATTATTGTTTCACTATTAATAAATCAACACAAACGATTTTAACATGAAAAAAATCACAATTAGAGCACCTCTAATTGTGATAAAAAAAATCACAGGGCGAAACGCCACTAATCAATCTACTATGAAGATAATGAAAATACATAAGATTACCAACAATTAGTCAACACGCTGAAGAATTGTCTTCCACCACTTGTGTCTCTTTCACCAATGACTTCGTCTCAGAATTGATTAGCCTGATCTTGAATCCACAACACCCACGTCGAGTCCATGACAATGACCCGCTTTGAACTCCTTCAAAGCCTTTATGCTCAAACCTTCGGAATCCACCGATCAAACTCTCTTTGATTATAAGAATGAAACAAACCCCCTTGATGTGATCAACTTAACTCATTTGATGTGATCAATCTCACAAAGACATCAAGGGAAACAAGGAAAAAGACTCGAAAAACAAGAACAAAATCTTAGGATTTAGATTTGGCGTCATAACTATAAAACCAGTCATTTACATAGCTTTATAGGGAACATGATCACGATAACTGCTCGAGTGAAAGAATGGTCGCTCGAGCGGTGTGTCTTGTATGCGGAGAAACCATAAGTGGCTTCGCTTGAGCGATGAAAAGTTTACTTGAGTGTAAAATCAAACATCCAGGTATTTTTGCAGGCATGACTGAACTACTGAGAGACAAGATTCTTCGCTTGAGCCACTAATGTTGCGTTCTATCGGTCCAAGCAAAAACTAGACACTGAAATACAATTTAAATATGTTTGTTCGCGGAATTGACAACACAAAGGGACCTAACAAAGTTGCACCAAACAACCATGCTATTTCTTTCTTAGCCCCACCTTTCCTTTCAATTCCCTTTTTAGTCCGTAACTAGCTTTCATAGCTCCTACCATCGCCTTCTTCCTTGAAACTTGAGACTCTCTCTTGGAGGTTGGGGCGAGCTTGGGCCATCACTCTATAAGTTGTGATGGTGGGGTCGTGAAGGCTAAGGATGATGGGACAATGATAAGTAGGACTATGAACAAGCTGATTTTCAAGTTGAACTTTGCAGAGCTCAAGCCCAACTCAAAAAAAAAAGAAAAAAGAAAAAAGAAAAAAAAAGGGAAACATATCAAATAAATCCTACTTTTCTAATGAAATTGCTATTAAGTGCTATTAACACATGAATAAACTCTCTAAGCATGGTGTGAATTGGACTCAATAGAAAATTCATTAAAAAAAGGACTTATTTGATAATTTCCCATTTTTTACTATTATTTACATTTATTTAAATATATAATTAATATTTTTACATATTATTTAAATAAAAAATATTTATATTATTTAACATATAAATAATATATTTATGCTATTATTTATACATATTGTTATATTATTTCATATATAAATAATATATTTATTCTATAATTTAAATAAAGATAAAGAAATCGAGTTTGATGAACTTATTCGAATTCGACTCACACTACAACAAAAACATACTTTAGTGGCACTACACTAGTGACATATTTTTAGAAAATGCCACAAAAAATGATATTTAGTGGCATGTTTTTGAAAAATACTACAAAACGACAAACATAAAAGGCTCTAGTGACATTTCAATGAACAAGTGTCACAAAACTACAACAAAAACATACTTTAGTGGCACTACACTAGTGGCATATTTTTAGAAAATGACATAAAATGATATTTAGTGGCATGTTTTTGAAAAATGCCACAAAACAACAAACATAAAAGGCTCTAGTGACATTTTAATGAACAAGTGTCACAACACTACAACAAAAACATATTTTAGTGATACCATACTAGTGGCATGTTCTTAAAAAATGTCACAAAAAGAATATTTGGTGACATTTTTTAGGAAAATGTCATAGAGCCACAAACATACAAGGCTTTAGTGGCATTTCAATTAAAAAAAGTATCACTTCACTACAATAAAAATGTCACTACAAAAACTTTTTATGAATATTTGCAATGGCATTTTTTAAAAAATGTCAGGACACTAGGTAGGTGCAAATTACTTTTTATGGCACTTAGGTGAAAAGTGTCATAAACAAATATTTTATAGCATTTTGAGAAATGCCACTAAGCCAAAAACTTTCCAAGCTTATAATGACATTTTTGAAAAATCAAAAAATGTCAATATATTTTCTAAATTTTTAAAATGCTGTAAATGATTAAAAATAAATGAATTAAACTCAATATACACTACAAGAAAAAACATATTCGGCGACTAAATTTCCTGACCAAAAATATTTGGTCGCTGAAAGTATAGCTTTCAGCGACCAAAACAGCATTAGTTGCCAAAAGTAAAACTTTTTGGCGACTAAACAATTTTAGTAAAAGTCTACAATTAGCGACTAAAACTAAGTTTGGTTGCTGATTATATGGATTTTAGTGACTAAAAAATTTTTAGTAGCCCAAAGTAAAGCTTTTTGCTGACTAAAAAAATTTAGTAGCCAAAAGTCTACAATTGGCGACTAAAAATAAGTTTGGTCGCTGATTATATGGGTTTTACCGACTAAAAAAATTTTAGTAGCCAAAAGTAAAGATTTTTGGTGCCAAAAAAATTTTAGTAGCCAAAAGTCTACAATTGGCGACTAAAAAATAAGTTTAGTCGCCAAAAGTGGTCATTTTTAGCGCGGGAGAACTAAAATCCTAAGGCGGGAATAAAATTTTTTGGTGACCAAAGTTTTGGTAGCTGAAAGTGCATCTTCGGCGACCAAATCTGATTTTAGTCGACAAAAGTTAAGTTTTTTAGCAACTAAAAAATAATTAGTAGCCAAAAGTATAGAATTGGCGACTTAGTCGCCAAAAGTGGTCTTTTTGTTATTTTGGTAATAAATAGTTTATTTTACATAAATTATGTTCAATAAAATAATTATGTTTATACATATACTTTTATATTAATATGGATGTATGTACTATATAAATAATATGTGTTGCATATATAATCATGTGGTGCTATAGAGGTGTAGTGGGAAGAGTGTGGTGTATAAAGTTTATGGTGCGGAAGGTTGGCGGTTCGAGTCTCCTGAAGAGCGGATCAAATTGTTCTACAACGAATTATCGTCATGAATGGCACTTGATACCGTCACGAATAGTGCCTACCATGACATTAAAGTGTCACTAAAATGTTTTAGTCTTGATGGTATAATGACACTTACAAGTGTCACTAACTCTTTTTTTAATGGCGCTTGATAGTGTCACAAATAATATCTACTATGACATTAAAATGTCATTGAAAGTTTTCAGCCATAATGGTGCAGTAACACTTGCAAGTATCTACCGTGGCACTCGTATCTACCGTGATACCGATAGAAGTGGCACTTGTTCAAAATGTCACAAGACTAAAAAATATCATTAGAAGAATAGTTTTGTGACACTTTTATATGTCACTAAATTAAAAAAATGTTATAGTGTCATTTATTAAACGAACTTAAAAGTTAAACTCAAACTTATTTATTTACTTAACAAAACGAGTCGAACTAAGTTCTCTTAATAAGTTGAGCCGTACTAAGAAACTATGAGATTTTATCATAAAAGTAAAGTAATTTGTTTGAAATACATAATGGTAATTAAGAAAAGAATAAGTCTGGTACCCATATTTTTGTAGGTGGAGTGAAAATGAAATTTGTATACGTAAAGTTTATCTATAAAATAAATCTGAATCATAAAATAATAATTTAAATAATTTCTGGATTGAAAATTGTAAATTTGTTGTATTACCGTTAAAAAAAATTAGAAAACGGTGTGAAGAGAGGAATGGTAGGGTGTAAATAGAACTACCCACTTGTCACGCTCTGAACCACCGATCCCTTGGATCGAGTCGCTGAAACAAACGTGGCTCACCGTCCTCCTATATCTATCTCCATATCTCTATATCTACACACACTATATATATAAATATGTATTAATCAAGTCAAGCCAGTGTCACTCACTCTCTCTCACTATTCACCATTTCTCTGCTTCTCTCTATCTGTACTTTCTCTCTCTAGGAATCGACTAGGAGGAACGCAGGGGAGGAGTTTTGGGTCGTTGACAATGGCGGGAAGTGGAGTTTTTGCAGAAACCATTGATGGAGATGTGTTCAAGTACTACGCAGATGGGGAGTGGAAGAAGTCATCTTCTGGGAAATCTGTTTCTATCATCAACCCAACTACCAGAAAGACCCAGTACAAAGTTCAAGGTAATAATCATCATCAATATACATATATTTATATACGTATTTGTTTGTATTATGTAGATTATGTACAAGTAGAAGTAGATTGGGATTTGTTATTGATTGTTTTTAAAGTTCCTCAAATTCTTACTGTTGATGATATATGTTGTTTGGGATTCAAGAAAACAGGGTTTCTCTGGGAATTTGTTCGTAATTTTTAAGCTTTTATCGAATTTGGTTACTGGTACTTGAAATTTGTGGTGTTGAAGTGATTGAACTCTGTTTGGTAGCTGAGGAAATGGAGGAAAAAGATGAGGGAATTATACTTTGGAATCTGGATCTTATGCTTTATGCTGTCGGTTGAAAAGAAAATCTGAAAAAAACCCACTAACCAAATAGTTTCATTAGGCTCAGTTGAGTACAAGCACTTTTTTGGGTTCCAAAGTAATGGGAAATTTTGTGATGCAAAAACTGATTTCTGTGCTTTTTTCAGTAAACAAACAGGGTAGAAGTGAACAGAGGAAAAGAGATTCCCTTAATAATAAACAAATGGATTTTGGTCCAAATTGAAGTTGCAAAACCCTTTTAAGCTTTCTTGCAACTCTTGAACTTGGCCTTTAATTTTTTTTCTTCTCTATTTCCTTAAATTTTCGCAAGTAAATTTAAATGCTTTGAAGTTTGTTCACTTATCTACTTAGCTATGGCCATCATTCAGCTTGTACACAGGAAGAGGTGAACAAGGCCATGGAAACAGCGAAAACTGCGCAAAAATCGTGGGCAAAGACCCCACTCTGGAAGCGAGCAGAGCTCCTTCACAAGGCAGCTGCTATTCTCAAAGAGCACAAAGCCCCCATTGGCGAGTGTCTAGTAAAGGAAATCGCTAAACCAGCTAAAGATGCAGTAACTGAGGTATGTAAATTGTTTTCATTTCTGTATTCTAGCTCGTAAATGCAACCAATACCATGTTTTGAAGCTGATTGAATGATATAAATTGTGGATTTGGTGAAGGTTGTTAGGTCTGGGGATCTTGTTTCTTACTGTGCCGAAGAAGGGGTTCGAATTCTGGGAGAGGGAAAGTTTTTAGTATCCGATAGTTTTCCTGGAAATGAGAGGACCAAGTACTGCCTTACTTCTAAGGTATACTTTTACTTTTCTACCTTAAGATTTTGTTGTTTTTCTATAAGCTTGTTGTTGGTTGGTGTCTCTAGTGGTGCAAACGTCACCAAAAACAGCCTCTCCAAAAATGGGGTAAAGTTGCGTACTTCTTGCCCTCCACCGACCCTGCTTTAGTGGGAAGTCTTGTGCATTGGCTCGTCATTGTTTTTACCAAGTTAGTTGGTTTAGGTGTGAAATGGCTAACCTAGATGGCTGGGAAAGGTAATTGTTCGGCCTATTGCTTGTTTTCATCTTAGCTCATCTTTGTCTGATTCATATTGGAACCCCGTAGACACAATATGATGTTATTATCAAGCAAGGGATTGGTAACAAAATATGCAAAAGAACCACTTGATTTGCTTAATTCAGATGAAAGAGTCTTTAACAGGCTTTTACAGGTGGAAAATTTGAGAAAATGTTCGGGTATATTGGAAACTGTATGAATAAGTTCTATTTAGTTAAGCTTAACTTTGTTAGAACTGGTTATGGCAGTAGGCACAATCCTTCATTGCTGACACTAGGCAGTGTAATTGGTTTAAGTTGTTTGTGAACTGCATTGGTTTGTCTTCCTGTTTTCAGTGGCGAAAAGCGAAATCAGCAAGTTGTTCCATGATGATTGATATTGCAATTTGTCTGCATTAAAATCTTTGTAAAACCTAACCTTGTTTTTTTGCTGCAACTTGCAAGCACCTGTAGGGAGTCTGTTACTGGTCATTATTTGGTCAGTTACTTTCTTTTGTCATGTTGGAGTTATTATGTTGAAATCCATCAAAGATATGATACCTGTAACTGGAAAAACAAAAAAGTTAATTTAAACTCGAACAGCTTGATAGATAAGTATTTATTACTAATATTATCTCATTTTCCCTATTTTTTGGTTGCACCTTTATATTTTGGCTGGTTATTCTTCTCCGTTTTGGTAGTTCTCACTCACATTGCAATCACTTTATCCCCTAACATTGACATTAGTGTGGAGTTGCATCTTGCTCATTCTAATTCATCTTGTTTTTTTTTTCCCCCACAAGTAATGATATATAAATAAAAAAGTTATACATAAAATTCATACAAAATGACGTGTCAAATTGGGAGAATGCTATGATGTGCAAGTGCACGTCATATGCTCCTTATGCAAAAAGCATAACTTCTCTCACCAAATGTATAACTTTTGTCATAAAAAATATGACTTTTCCTTTACAAAAAATATAACTTTTTGTTTCTCGCAAAATGTATAACTTCTCTCACAAAAAGGATAACTTTAGTTTTACATGATTTTTAGATGCATATCATAACTTCAAAATTCATAACTTTCATCTAAAAAATCGTAACTTCATCTTACAAAATGTATAACTTCTCTCACAAAAAGTATAACTTTTTCTACAATGTGCAAGTGCACATTGTAACTTCTTCTGTCAAATTGATAGTCATTTATTTCAAACCAAAAGACCCATGAAAGTGATCTGTTATTTCAATTATGAAAATTTTCACATGACATTTCAGTCAAGGAAGGTAATGCTTGTGAACAAGTTATTGATTGATGAATGATTGTAATAGGACTCTCAGGGCAAATGGTAGGGTCGGTCAAGTCTGACTACATTTGAACTGTAGATCTAAATTAGATGTATCATTTCTGAAATACTTGTGCACATGTTGACATACTTTATGTAATGGAATTTGGAGCTGCATCTTGCTCTCCCCAGATCCCTCTTTAGTGGTAGTCTCGTGTATTGTGTTGCTCTTTATTTTTGACCGATAATCAGTAGTAACTTGTTTTGATTAATTTGTAAGTCAGAAATTTTCTGTAATTTTTATGGTATTCAACTTTTGTATTGCAGATTCCACTTGGTGTTATTCTGGCAATTCCACCCTTCAACTATCCAGTTAACCTTGCTGTCTCCAAAATTGGTCCTGCTCTGATTGCTGGAAACTCTATTGTGCTCAAGCCTCCAACTCAGGTATTTTCCCATATATTTTATCTCATGACTCCAAAAATTTCTATTTTATGCTTTAATCATCTGTGACGTTACTTCTGCATAAGAAGTCCTATATATATATTGGCAGTAGAGTTCATATTTAATCCTGCATGATAAGCAATGCATACTCATTTCAAGAATGCTTTCTAAAAACATGTTTAATGAACTTTTTCCCATGGCAATTCCAAACATCCACAGGGGTGAAATGTATGTTTTTGTAAATATATATCCCCTTTTGCAGATTATGGAATAGTTTATTCACCATCTCTCATCTGAACTTCTCTTCAGGGTGCTGTGGCTGCGCTTCATATGGTGCATTGCTTCCACTTAGCTGGATTTCCCAAGGGCCTCATCAGCTGTATTACAGGGAAAGGCTCTGAGATTGGTGATTTTCTCACAATGCATCCCGGGGTGAACTGTATAAGGTAATTCAACTTCATATTTTCTTATGCTATGTTTGAATCTTGGATTTGTGGAGGTAAAATACAAATGAAGGGATTTGGGGGAAAAGACATAGCTTCAATTTCATTTAACTTCTTTTCTTTCCTTTTCTTTTCCCTCTGCAATTCTCTCCACAATTCCAAGATCCAAACAGTGCCTTAGTGCTACTTCAGTTCTAGCTTTACTTGTCTAATATACACTTACTAACAGCTAATTTGCATACTTATTTACTCAGCTTCACTGGTGGAGACACGGGTATTGCAATTTCAAAGAAAGCAGGCATGATTCCGCTACAGATGGAGCTTGGAGGAAAAGATGCCTGCATCGTGCTTGAGGATGCTGATCTAGATTTGGTAGCAGCAAATATTATAAAAGGCGGTTTTTCCTACAGGTGAGCCGAACCCTCCATACATATCAATATGGTTATGTATGCTATTAGGGAAATGGCGCATGGTAAATGTTTGTAGAGAAATTTCACTATTCAAATTTAGAGAACATGATGGACGATAAGTTTCCTTGACAAAGTATATCCTAGAAAATAAAAAAGATAAACTCATTTATCTGCTGCCAAGTAGTGTTAGAGAATTAGGCTCATTCATTTCTTATTGTGCCGTCATATAGCTGCACTGTTTCCTGTTTGCTCTGACAGTAATTAAAACTAGTACCGTCAGATGAGCATTCATCTATGTCATGTTAATGCTAGTGTAATATTATGATTGAGGCATTGCATAATATGAGATGATTGTGCCTTGTATAGACTTGGCTTGTAGGATAGAGAATAATTTCCTCAATAATCACAGAGATTGATTTCCTTACATATTAAGTTTCTTATGATCCAAACATGCGGTCAGTGGGAGTTTTTTAGAACCTTATTTTGCCCTGTTTGATGCAGCTTATGGGTCTGCTTATAACTTACAAATTTTTTTTTTTTTGGTGGGAAAAATGTGTCAGAATGCTTGGTTCAGTTTCTGCATATAACTTATGAGATAAAAATAGATCATGTAAGCTGATTATTGAGAAGGGAAGGGGAGCTTTTAGTTTCTACTTTACGATTATCAACTTTTAGCTTGCAAGAAGCTACACTCCATTTTTCTTTGCTTATCAAATTCGACTTGTTTCTGCTTGACCAATACACCCCCTTGTTGAGACGTCTGAATTTCTTGGCATGGACATTTGCAACAGTGGTCAAAGATGCACTGCTGTGAAGGTTGTCTTGGTGATGGAATCGGTTGCTGATGCCCTTGTCGAAAAAGTGAAGGCCAAAGTGGCAAAATTGACGGTTGGGCCACCCGAGGACAACTGTGATATCACTCCAGTTGTTACAGAGTCATCTGCAAACTTTATTGAAGGGTTGGTCATGGATGCTAAACAGAAAGGAGCAACATTTTGCCAGGAGTACAAGCGGGAGGGCAACCTTATTTGGCCATTGTTGTTGGATCATGTTCGCCCTGACATGAGGATTGCGTGGGAGGAGCCTTTTGGACCGGTTTTGCCAGTTATTAGAATCAACTCTGTTGAAGAAGGAATCCACCATTGCAATGCAAGCAATTTCGGCCTGCAGGTATGAATACTGTGCAGTTACGTACTGTCATTCTAATTCACGCCATTTTTTGTTTGATTTTCAAAAATCAAGTCACCCAACTATTGTGATCGTACTGTTGGTATGCGTTGTTATATCAGATGAATAATGCTGAAATCAAGCACCAAATTAACAGTTTAGAAGGAAAATAAGTTTTACTGTAAAAACCCAAATAACAGTGATTGATACTGACAAAATGTGACTGAACCACAGGGCTGTGTCTTCACAAGGGACATCAACAAAGCAATTTTGATCAGCGATGCCATGGAGACAGGAACAGTTCAGATCAACTCAGCACCGGCTCGGGGCCCTGATCATTTTCCTTTCCAGGTGACCTTCAACTCCCAAGAATCCTGCCAAATAATGTTTTCTAAGCATGGACAGTCCAAAATAGGTGCCATGTCGTGTCTGACATGGCATGGACACATCCAAGTGTCGGACTGACACATCATGTAACATGTCCATTTTTAAATCATTATTTTTTGCAAGACATGTTGGGGACATTTCACAGACATGCATGTCCTAGAGACGCCTTAAGACATGCATGTGGATTTTATTTATTTATTTATACATTTAAAAAGTTGATTGGGAACTAAAGTAATTTATCGAAGCAAAGAGGGAGAAAGGTGGCAAAAAACATAAAAATACACCCACATATACATTACGTTTCTTATATCTGTGTCCTAAATTTATATTCATCTATATAGAAAATAAAAAAAAGTCCGCATCCAAACTTTTTAAAAATTGTTACGTCTCTTGTCCATTCTTTAGAGGGTATTGTCGGCGCATCAATATCATGTTCCTGTTGTGTCACGTGTCCATGTCAGTGCTCATGCTTCTTAGCTTGACAACTAAAGTATGGTGTTTTGGCAGGGTTTGAAGGACAGTGGAATTGGATCACAAGGGATCACCAACAGCATCAACATGATGACGAAGGTGAAGAGCACTGTCATCAACTTGCCTACTCCTACATATGCCATGGGCTAATAACCCAACCATATCAGGAAATAAATCTATTATTACACGGTACTAGTATTGTATTCTTGCTAATAGTGAAAATCAATGAATGAGTTTTAGATTTAGTCTATATCAGTAATGAGGAACTGAAGAATAACGCAGAGATTTCTAGTATAATGGATTTTGTTCTTGACAATGTGTATCTATGTTTGGCAGCTTGGAAAATTGTATGTGGACGTACACGTGTACATCTCTTCTTGTAATGTCACCGATATCCTTGGACAAAAAATCAGTTGCAAAATGTAGTCCTAAACTCTGATGAGAATTATGAATAACAGAGCTTAGTTGGTTGGCAATTATAACTATGAAAGAAAATTGGTATGAATTGGGAGCTTTTACCTCTTGGAAATGGTTACAAGCAAGCCTAAGTTCCAGAGAAGTTATCAAAAGTATTCAAGGAACTAGAGCACATGATAAACAACATTTCATGAGTGATACAATATAGTGATCCAATACGAAAGAAATTGATTAGAGTAATGATATTTACTTCTTGTAAGTGATGTATGTGAAATTCTTAGAACAATTGAACCAACAAAAGGTAATGAAGTAGTCAAATTGAAGGTAATAGCGACACTTTTGTAGCAAGTTGGAATTATCTCAAATTTTATAGTCTAATTAGAAACGGCATCTTAAATCAAAGTCATTGCAGTTCCGATGATGCTGTACAATAGATTTTGTCAAATTCCTTCATTTAGACTTTCAAATTAGTGATTTTGCCGTTTTAAAAAAGTTATGTTTTGGCAGTAACTTTATTTTGAGAACTTTGTTTTTTAGCATTTATAATATTGTCTAGTATTTAGATTTGGGCTTAATTCAAAATGGGTCCCAGAATGAACCCAACAGTGGGGTGATTCTATTTGCACCCAAAAAATAACTTAATACGCCTAACTAAAATTTTAAAATTTTAATTCATATTCTACATTAATATAAATTTATTAATAAGGACAATATATTAAACACTAAAATAAATATATTTTTTCCTATGGTACAATCTTATTACATATACATATTTTTCATATTCAAACCCCTTTATCATCTACCCCAAGTTTTAATTATTTTCTCTTTTTTTTCCTTACTCAAAAACTCCAATCTACCTAATCAAAACTTACCAATATTATCACCATCATTGTTTGTTATTGTGTTGTTACTTACAAATAGAAAAAAGTTGAAACAAAATCAAACAGTATAGATGATAATAATAATCAAAACTGTTTTTTAAAGCAACTTATCAAAGATAAGGTAAGTGTTTGCATAAATATCAAAATATAATTCTTAATTTATGAGTTTATTTTTTTATTTTATTATTTTTTTTATGTATAAACGAATATTCAACATGTTTTATGTTAATATTGTTTGAAGTGAATTTGTTCGAATTTGAAAATTCGAACAAAACAATCTTCTTTGACACTGGACAAGCTAACTTGGACTTAATTTTCATTCTATCCTTCTCTTTTTTCAACTTGGACCCAATGTACTTCTTCTTCAATAATTGGTAATGAAAATACTGAGAAGAAGATGGTATGACTGATGTAGTGGTTGAGAAGAAAAGAGGGAGAGTTTCTTTTAATTGATTTTATATTAAGATTATTATTTGAGTGTATCATAAAATTAAAATATTATATTATTTAAAAATAATTTGTAAAAAAAATATAAAATATATTAAGAGTAAATTATATATTTAAATAATTTAATAAGAAGTACTGAAAAATTAAATATCCTAATTAATTTTATAAATGTAAATAAAATCTCCCGCAACGGTGGTTGTTGCACATAGTACTCGAAGAGAAAATGAGGATTTCGTTGTAGAAGGACTTGACGGAGAAAGCTCCAGCTCTGCCAGAGCCAGCAACCGTAGAGTGGTGGTTGTGGAGGTGTTTCACGGCAACGATTCGGTTGTCGTAGAGCTAACCTAGATAGATTGACCCAAACCTATCATTCCCGATTTTGTATTTCAGATCGAACCAGTTCGTGAAGGACTCGCGCTCTTCGTAGGTGAATACCGGAGAGAGGAGACTGGCATCGCGATGGTGGCGAAGATAGAGGATTGTTGGGTCTTCTTCCTCTGTCGCAGGAAATGACTTTTTTCTTGATCAAACAATTACTGAAGCAATTGATAAAAAAACTAACAAATACCTGAATACAAAAATTGAACACAACATTGCTATTCGATTTAGGCCATATTGACGAATCAATGGGTGAGAGATTTGATTGTGAGATTGAAAACATACGAATTGCTTTTTGGGGTCCAAGGAATTGAAGCCGCATATCCATTGTTGGCTTGGCAAGCTTTGCAATTTGAGAAATAAGATATGTACATAAAATATTTTGATATAATATTATGGGTGTTAACGGATGCTTATTATGATCATTTTAATTTAGGATATAATTGATATTAAAATAATATTTTATTAAGTATGTGAATTAGGTTAACTAAATTTGTGGAAATTATCTCCCTTTGTCCATAAAGACAACTTTTCTAAAATGAGCAAACTACCCATGTATATACATAGATATTATTTTTCAGGAAAATGTTTGGGACCCCCACAAATGAGGACCCCCACGAACCTCACTAATGTATTGACCGTTGATGTGTTTAAATTTTTTTTGGGAATTGTTTCTAACAGTGACATAATAATTCACATTATTTTATGAGTTGTGGAGGTTGTGTTTTGTGAGATCTCTATCATTACTGTATTTTCCAAACCACACCCTAATCAAATCATACTCTCTCTCTACAGCGTCTCTCTCTCCCTCTCACTGTCCGCCTTCGCAGCTCCTCTCCCTCTTTCTCTCTCACCACCACTTCTCACCCTCCGCTACTCTACTACCGCCGCCGCCGTATCTGCCATCGCCACGACCTCTTTTTCTTCATTTCTCTTCTCTTTCCTCTCTACCTCCGTCATCTGTGTCTCTTCTAGTTGCTCCGGTCCTCTTCCTTGCTGAAAAACCTCTGTCCGTCAGTCCAGACCTTGCTCAAGCGGACCTCCGCAGATCTAACAAAGGTCGTCGTCTTAGTGCTTTTCTCTCTAGGAGGGCACTATAGTAATTGGAGGATGGTTGTCTTTACTCGTTTCTGCTCTTTCCAAGATCTCCGATCTTTGCAAGAAGGTCTCCGATCTTTCCAAAGACATGAAGCAAACTCAATTTAGAGTATCTCTTTCTCTCTCTCTCTCTCCCTCCCCCTCTAAGGTTTGATCTCTGATCCAGATCTGTTACACAGATCTATTCAAAATGTTTAGTTTATTGCTCTCTCTCTCTCTCTCTCTGTAACAGATTTGTAACTGTAGGAAAGTGGTTTGGAAATACTTTAAGATCCTATAGAACGTTCTTGATTCTCTGATTGCCACCTGAATAATGATGAACACTCCTGTCGGGGTTTCCGGAATTAGCACTCCGACGGACAAGTTAGTATATGCTCTCTAGTTTGCTTCTATCTCAAGTTATTTAATCTATTCTCACATACCTTTCTTCGGTTGATGTTTCTCTTATGTATACTAGTATTTGGTCTGAGGGGTCAGGCCCACTCTTAATCCAACGCATGATTGCTTATTCGGCCTTTCTGTCGTATGCTAATTCCTACTCGGCTCCTTGTATGGCCGATTTACATATTTGGCTTCAGGACCCCTTTGGTCAGAGCCGAATCATCTTTGCCCTGATTTTCCTTCAAATAAATTTGGCTTTCCTTAGTATATAATTATTCAGCCCCCACAATTGCCCCCCAAACATCCAACTAACGCCATTTAGTCGGCATGTTTGGTTTTAAACCTGGAAAGTCAAAAATACGGCGCTTGCACTCCTTCCAATATTGAAGCGTCAGAATGTCCACGCTTTTAGAAATCATTATAATTTCCCGCCCTTTCGTACGCGTCGTTCATTTAATGCGATTTGAAATCGTGTTGTCCCTTCGAATGTATTTTTATTTTTTTTTTGAATACGCAAGGCTTCTTAGTTGCCTCTCAACATCTCTCTTTCATTTCACCACCTCTGCAACTTCTATCCGTTCCCTATTGTGCTCTTTGCTCCTTGTAAGTTCTTCTATTCTTCATTCCAACTCCCATTTCGTTGTTTTTTTTTAGTTTAGAGTACTTTCTATTCTGGGTCGGATGGCGAAACATTTGAAAGTCCTTCTTTCTGTGGATTGTGTTTCCGCTTTTTGATGCCATTTTTCTATTCCTGACGACGTTTATCCGTCACTCATGGCAAAGAGCGTAGTTGACATAGAGAGGACCGATACGAGTACGATCATCTTTCCTCTCCTGTCAATCGCTGAAGGCGGAGTCCGTTTCCCCCTTCACCCATTTTTGAGGGCCATCCTTCACTATTGGGGTCTACTCCCTTCGCAACATAACATAAACTTTTACTGAATCATAATGGGAATAGTAGAATTAAATCGCCGACTTAGGCTTAATCTTGGAATTCCTGCTATTCGACATTGTTATGCCTTGGCCAAATCCTCTGGTCGGCAGGGACGTTACTTTCTTGAGGATAAGGACACCGACCACCATTTGGTGACTATGCTTGCTAGCTTTGGCAAGCGTGTTGATGATGTCATGGTCGTTGTCTGAGGCAATTGGGAATTGAACAAGGGCGAAGATCGCCTAGATCCTATGCCTAGACAAAAAGGCGAACCAGGTGGCCGTGTAGTCCCATTTTTCCATGAATTTCTTATATGCTCCATGTATTAATCGTTTCAATTTGTGCAGGTAACGATTTGAAGAAAGTACTTGCTTCGGCCGACGACGTTGTACTTCAACAAGTCAAAACCGTGCTAGAATTTTTTGGTCGTCCCAACCTTCAAAAACAAGGGCGGGCCGCCCATGTACTGTTGCGCTACGAACCTACATACGCCACTTTTTCGACTGCAGATCACATTCTGATTCCGAAGGGCGAACAACAACTCATGGCACTCATTTTCCTGAACTATAAGAACCTTAGGGAAATTGGTGTTGGAGATTTGGATTTGAAGCAAGGTGAAGTCCATGATCGGGTTACCAAACCAAACAAGGCCGATTTAGAGGAAGTCGACGCAGCTCTCAACTTGGCTTTTGAGGAAGTTGGCCTTAACTCTCCGTCCGTTTCGGGTCGGGTTGACATATTGTTGGAGGAAGATATTTTCACCAATTTAGGAGATCTTCCCGGCACGGATCTCAAAAACATGGCCGGGGAGTCGCTTGCACAAATGGTGAGAAGAAAGACTATCGAGAAGATTGCAGCTCGAAGAAGGGCTGAGGCCACTAGGTCTGAGCCCCAACCGCCTGTTCAGACTGATTCTCTTCTTCCGGCTCTGGTTGAGGCTGAAATT